TAAATAATAATTTTCCCCCACTTACAATGACATTCAGTGGAGTCCAGTGTTGGTTTAACGTGTTTTTTTTATTTTAAGAATTGCACTTTCTTATGAACATTCTTTTGAACTTTTTATCCTAAGAGCTTTTACTCTTTTCTTAAAAACTGTTGTTTTTGAACATAATAGTTAGGACAAAGCTTGAGAATGTGCTAGCAACAGGAAAGCCTGCCTTAGCAAGCACCACCAATGACTAATGTTTGTGTGTGTTAACATGCAAATCAAGGAGTGTGTCATAAGGCACACTGCATTCTTTTGTGATCACATGACTTGCTTAGTCAGAGCCGTGTGGCACACTCAGCACAAATATCAAGTCTGTACTGAGAGACTGGCATCATTGTTCCTGTTAATAATTTGGTCTTGTGTTTGGGAGGGGGAGGGGGGAGGGGGTTGTCAGTCTAAATATTCAAAATAAAACTTGACGATATGCCAAAACCTCTCCTTCCTGTCACTTTTTTCTAAAGCCGTACAGTCCAGAAAAATCACCCAGGCGTTCTGAATCAGCAGCAAAGACCGCCTCCTGTTAGCAGTTAACACTAGACTCTCACACACGCATACACATAAGCAAAATTTAACACACTCCCCCCACAGTCAGGGCTCCGGCCCTCCAGGAATTGAGTTTGACACCCCTGTTCTAAGTGGTTTTTAGCAAGTTGCTTTGTGGTTGCTAGGGTTTTAAGGATGCTTGCTAATGTGTTCATGGCGGTGCTGAGTGTTCCACTGTCCATAGGTTTCTGTGACATTCTGGGACCATAAGTTTGCCAATAACAAAAAACTTGTTCTTCAAAAAATGTTCTTAAATTAACTTTTAAAGTCACTATAGCTTCACACTTTATGGGATAGTTCACCTTAGAATGTAAATTCTGTTATTTTACCCTCATGTCGTTCCAAACCAGCATAACTAACTTTCTATACTCTTAAAAGTAAAGGTTCCAAAAGAAGGTTTCTGCAGCATTGTCATAGAAGAAACCATTTTGGGTTCCCCAAGGAACATTTCATTTAACAGTTCTTAAAAGAACTATTGTGAAGATCATTTAAAGACCATCTGATTAATCTTTTTATACAGTGGAACGGTTCCATGGACTTTAAAGGTTCTTCATGGAACCATGGATTCCAATAAATAACCTAAAGTTTAAAAAGAATGAAAAAGCTGAAAAAATATATATTTTAAACTTTTTTTTTTTTAGGTTGAACGATAAAAGGATAAAAGAAATTGAATAATAAAGAAAAATATACAATTGAGTATTTAATAAAAATAATAAAAATCCTTTTATTTTATAGTAATTTTTGAATCTTATTTTTTTTTATTAATTTAGTTAAATGATTAAACTTTTGGCCATTTTCCAAATAAATATATGTGCTGCCAGTTTCAGAGTGAAGCGCAGCAGTGTTTATTTACACGCTTACAGCTCATTATAAAGTGCTTCAGCATCAGTCACATTGGCATAAAGTTTATTTAAAACAATTAAAAAAATTAAAACAGCCTTCGCAATTTGACTATAGCATTAAGCCATGTCGTAATATAGTTTTTTATTTTAATATATACGGTGCAGCCCTAAAGTACAGTAACTTATTGTGAATTTAATTAACTCACTTTTTGTTAGCAGAACAATGTAGTAACACCCATCTACCAGTAGGGGCTAATTGAACCATGCTAACCAACCAAACCATGATATGTTTCAGACAGGTTTCCCGAACAAACCTCTATCTGCCGTTGGCAAACTGTATGTTGTCTCTATGTATGCACACAAGCTGAGACAGGAAAAAGTAAGACCCAGTTTAATGAGAAAAATATGAGGGAATATTGTAAATGATACATGAGTTAGCTGTGGAGAGAGTGAGGAAACAAGCTTCTACGGAGGGTCAGTCAAAATTTGTATGCGAGAGGGGAAGTCTGCTTGGGAGTTTGAGAGAAGATGTGGGGTTTACTATTAACTCGGCTGAGAAATTTCAGCGTAATGCCCTGCGGTAAGAGTAGTGCTGGTTCAGCACTTGTCTGCTTGTGTACTGAGCAACCAGTCATGTTGTTTCTTAACACAGAGAGAAGGAATAACACACTGTTGCTGCTGATCTGAACTGCAATACACACTCCCACTCACAATATGAGCATCAAACGCAGGCCTCCTTCCTTGTTCATACTTCTGCTGCCTGCATTGCGAGTTCATTTACCGGCAGCTCAGGTTGAGATAGCCCTAAAGTAATTTAGAGGAAATGTGTTTGGTTTGGCTCTGGATCAGTAAAGCATTGAGAAATGAAGGAAATACCATCTGAGCCATGCCCTCGGTTGTAAATCCAAGGAATACAGCCATACAGAAACATGCAAACATACTTCCTACTCTTTCTTGTTGAGACGTTTTGAAGGGTGAGTACTGGTCACGTGTCTAGGCCTCAGTGGAGCCACATGTAGGCAGGATGTTCTGGCAATGTGTGCTTGTTTGTGTATGAGGGTTGATAAAACTAGATTTTCTGAAGATTGCGAGTGGTGTTTGGAGAACTCACTGCAACAATGCTAGGGTGTTTTGGGTGGTTGCCAGGGTGTTGCTTAGATGATGCTAAGAAGTGTTTTTTAGCAAGTTGCTATGTGGTTGTCTTAAGGGTGCTTGCTAAGGTGTTTATGGTGGTACTGACTGTTCCACTGTCCATAGGTTTCTGTGATATTCTGGAACCGTAACTTTGCCCATAGCAAAAAACATTTTTAAAAAATGTTCTTAAATTACCTTTTAAAGTCGCTATAGCTTCTCACTTAATGGGATAGTTCACCCTAGAATGTAAATTCTGTCATTTACTCACACTTATGCTTATTCCAAACCAGTACGACTTACTTTCTTCACTCTTAAAAGTAAAGGTTCCAGAAGGTTTTCACCGCAATGTCGTAGATGTAGAAGAACCATTTTGGGTTACCCAAAGAACCTTTCAGTTAACAGTTCTTAAAAGAACCATTGTGAAGAACATTTAAAGAACATCCAAAGAACCTTTTTCTGCTATAAAAAAATTTTTTTTGTACAGTGGAGCATTCATGGATGTTAAAGGTTCTTCATGAAACCATGGATTCCAATAAAGAACTGTTTTAAAATTGTTCTGTGGAATTATCTTTTGAACTTTTTAGAATTGATCCTAAATGTATCCTTAAATTCTTTTCTTAAGAACAGTGGTTTTTGAGCATAATGCTTAGAGCTAAGCCTGAGAATGTGCTAGCAACAGGAAAGCCTGCCTTAGCAAGCGCCACCAATGACTAAGGTTTGTGTGTGTTAACATGCAAATCAAGGAGTGTGTCATAAGGCACACTGCATTCTTTTGTGATCACATGACTTGCTTAGTCAGAGCCGTGTGGCACACTCAGCACAAATATCAAGTCTGTACTGAGAGACTGGCATCATTGTTCCTGTTAATAATTTGGTCTTGTGTTTGGGAGGGGGAGGGGGGAGGGGGTTGTCAGTCTAAATATTCAAAATAAAACTTGACGATTTGCCAAAACCTCTCCTTCCTGTCACTTTTTTCTAAAGCCGTACAGTCCAGAAAAATCACCCAGGCGTTCTGAATCAGCAGCAAAGACCGCCTCCTGTTAGCAGTTAACACTAGACTCTCACACACGCATACACATAAGCAAAATTTAACACACTCCCCCCACAGTAACCTCTAATCTCATTGCAAACTCTGCACGCCAGAGCTCTGACAGACACTAAGTAAAGAGAAAAAGCCCGTCACTTCTGCCCTGCCTCATATTGTGTCTCTGGAGTCCCGTCATTAAAGCCAATAAGAGCTGTAATATCCGCTAAACTCTTAGCATGAATTCTTTATGAGCTCTGGGCACAGGATCATGGTGTCTGAGAGACTCCTGCCATTCGATTTGCAGGGAAAGTATTTGCTCTGGCAGTCTAAACATCACAGTCAGTTGTGTGGAAGTCCACTCCAGAGGATTGTCACCACGTTTAGGCAAATTCATGGAATGGTCAGGAATATTGAGCGAATATGGTTAATATTTCATCATCCCAACTATGTTTGCAAGCTGAAAATTGTAAACATCTAAATTAGCTCAAGAATGTTCATATAAGGAACGACTGTGATTAGATCGTCCTGTCTAATACAATAACTTTGCATGCTGTGCTGGTTATTATAGGGGTTGTTTACAGGAAGGAGGACAGGATTGTTTGACCCACCTGCTGAGGTTGTACCCATAATTCATTGAGCCACCTTCTGTTATGCTGGAATCAGGCCGCCCTGTGATTGCTGTGATGAGCATTTGACTTCTGCCCCAGTGTTTTTAGGACCAGCTGAGGGGATGGAAGAAAAGGAGAATGAAAGGAGTGCAGGGGTAGAGGAGGACGAGCCTCTTTAGAAATGCTTCGCTTGTATCGGCGTGTCAAATCACGCAGCCATCTGCAATGCCTTGGAGTGAAGTGTTGAGAGGCCCGATCGATTTTTCTTTTAACAGTCTTTGTTGGTAGCACTTTTGACTAGTGCTTACTTCACTATAGTATAATGATGCATATCAAAGAAATTCTGCAGCATCCAAAAAGATGTCAGTGAATTTATTAGTGCTGCCTGCTAAGGCAAGCATCTCTGTTGGGTCAATGACAAGTTAACTAAAATGAAAATATTTTATTAATTTAATTTAAAAGTCATGTTCCAAGTTCTTAGAAATGTCATCCTTGTATTCATGTTGGATTCATGTACTTTTGAAAAAGTATCACCAAGTATCAAAAAGTTGTATCACCCTGACATTTCTGACTTTATGTATAAATACATGCTCACTATAGGAGAGGTGTATTCAAGTCCATCGTATGTATGAATTGGATGTATTTTTTTATAAATTAGCATTTTGGCGACAACTTTTGCACAGGCATGTAACTTGGTCGCTGAACTCTTATGTGATATGTGTCTTGTTTTCTTTCTCTCTCTTCAAGAGATGGCGTGGAGGACCCTGGCAGTGTTGTCCCTGCTGCTGTGTTTTGGCTCATCTTGCTGTGATGATTCTTTCATGTCTGATACCATCATCAACAATGTCGTTCAGGACCCTCAAACTGGTCGAATTTACCTGGGTGCCATTAATAACATCTATCAGCTGAACTATGACCTGCAGAAGGAGAGCAGTGCTGTAACAGGCCCTAGGCACGACAACCCACAATGCACTCCACCAATCACTGCACAGTGCACTGATGCAAAGGATATGGACAACATCAACAAACTCCTACTGGTTAACTCTGCCAATGGCACTTTGATCGTTTGCGGAAGCCTTTTCAGGGGCATCTGTTCTTTGGTAAACCTCAGCAGCGTGGACAAACCGTTGTACTACAGTGACACTAAAGGCGAGAAGACATATGTAGCCAGCACAGAGGAGTCTGTTACCGTAGTGGGAGTTATTTCTTATTTTATAGATGCTCATACTAATGCAAACCTCAGCGTATTTCTAGTGGGGAAGGGCTATGGTAGCTCGGACAGTTCGAAACTCATCAGCACCCGATTGCTGCAGGAGCACAGAGAAATGGATGTCTTTGAGAACATGGTTGAAGCTTCCACTGTGCAAGCTAGTCCTTTCGTCCAGCGTTACCTCCACGACTTTCGCCATGCTTTCAAAGACAATGGCTACATCTACTTCTTGTTTTCGCGCACTCCGGGCACTAGTGACAGCAGGAAGATCACATTTATAGCACGCCTGTGCGAGAATGACCATCATTATTATTCTTACACCGAACTTCAGCTCAACTGCTCTGTCAGCACTGAACAACAGGAGAACACGTACAACAAGGTCCAAGCGGTGTATCTGGCCAAACCAGGAGAAGTTTTGGCTAGGAAAATCATCCCTTCGAATCCCAATGATAAGGTTCTGTTTGCGGTGTTCAGCGTGGATGAGGACGGTGGCCATTCTGCCTTGTGCATGTACCCGCTCAGCAGCATTAACACCAGGCTTGAGGAGGTGATTGAGTCCTGCTACGTAGGAGAAGTTCTGGAGGACGAGAAACCAAAAACTGTTTATTCACCTTATATCTCCAAGACCGAGGCCATCTGCAGGACCAAAAGAGATGTGAGATGTTGTGTTTCTTCCACTCTGCTTCCATGTTGTATGGTGTTTTGTGGCCCTTCTGAATGTGGTATGTCTTTTCACCCAACAGAAGAACATGGTGAAGGGATATAAATGTGGCGCAGAGTTCCTGCCATCTCCACTAGCCAGTAAACCTGAGTACGCACTGGCTGTCAAACCCATCTTCACCCGAAATGACATGCTGACAGCTGTAGCTGTGGCGGTGGAGAACGAGCACACTGTGGCATTTTTGGGAACCAGCGGAGCAGATGTCTTAAAGGTGAGTCCCATTCCAGGATCTGGTTTCTCTCCTCTTTAAATTTCACTGAAGCTCTTGAGGTTTGACTGCTGTGGTGGTCTGGCAACCAAAAGGTTGTTGGTTCAAACCCAAGTATGGGTGATTTATGAGCTACAACCACTTGAGTGATGCACTTAATCCTAGAACTTGCTCTAGTTGTATTGCCCCGTAATAATGTGTTTACTTGTAAGTCGCTTTGGATAAAAGCATTTGCCGAATGAATGAATGAATTAACTTTCTGCTTGCAGGTGCATCTTGACCCCAGCCACCCTAACCTTTATAACAGGATACCAGGGGAACGCACAGATGGTGGGGTGAACAAAAACCTCTTTTTTAATTCAACTTTGGATATCTTGTACATCACCACTGGCAGAAAGGTTTGTTTATGAACACATCCACAACTCATATATCACATTAAGTCAACAGAGATCATCCACTGGTTAAAACCTGTTTTAATAATGTAGGCTTGCAAATCTTGAAGGAAATTTTTATGAAGTGGTACATTTAGAGATATACTGAAATATCACATGTGACATCCCTAGACTCTGTAATCTGCCACAAAAAATGTAACAGCAGGCTGTGTTATATAATTTTAGCCAATCGGAAGACTTCGAGGCGCTCTCTTCCCGTCAGTCATTTTACTCATTCACATGGCCCATATATTAGAAGCAGGAAACCGAGAGTGTTGAAGTGGAACACTCAATTCAAATGCCATAAGCTGCTTCATAAGTTGACAGTTGTACACAAACGCTATTTTGCAAAACGACTCTACTGACGTTGCTGAGATGACATGCTGCAGCTCTTTCACTTTACAATTATGACATTTAATGACTTTTGGGTCCTAAAGGTGTGGGTAATCCAGTCATTTCAATATCTGTGCAAAGAGGGTAAAATGTTTCCCATACGGAATTCGCTTGTGTTCAGGTTGGTCACACAAATTCCCCACTTTGACCAACAGAAAGATGCTTAGTTTGAAAGTGGCAATATTTCATGTATTGCTTGACAATGGACAGTGGACCTTTTTTGATAATGTGATCGCACCTTAAACTCTTAATGCAGAAGCAGAACCTTCAATCACAGATGCATCATCTATTAAGCATCTTAAATAAATTAACAAATTGGCATTTTAAAGGTTGTGGCTGTTGTCTTAATTGTTTCTCTTTTGCATAGATCACCAAAGTGCCAGTGCAGGCCTGTGAGCAGAGGCATGATTGTCACTCATGTGTCTCCCTGCGGGACCCATATTGTGGCTGGTGTGTGTTGGAAGGCCGGTAAGTGTGTTAGATTCAATTTATTACCAAAAGCACAACATCATTTGAGCATTCTTGTCCAGTAAAGGACAGGACAAGCAGTAACACTGCCACATGACAAGACACATGGCTCCTATGGGTCATGTGACTTCCATCCCTACTAAAGTATGTTTTAGAAAAGGAAATAGTTTGTTTAAAATATGGTGTAATTGAAGTCTTGGTTTTGTCTGTTATAGTATGTAATCGATATCTGCGTGCAGTCCAGTTAAAGCGAATGCAGTATGGCTCATTGCCCATGTTTGTCTGCTTTGCTCTTTCAGTTGTACTAGGAAAAAGGATTGTCGCAAAGCAGAAGGAGAGAACGCCTGGTTGTGGAGTCCAAAACAAACATGTGTAACTATTCAGTCCTTTGTGCCCCCCAACATCAGCTGCAAGAAAACAGAGCGTACACAGGTACTAAAGCATAACACATTCATAAACACACACACTGTGATATGGTCTGCAGTTATTTCAAACCCTAACCTCTTAAGGATTGACTCAAGATTGATATTTACTGACTGTAATAGATCCAGTCTGAGAGTCTAATCCTTTTTTCATAAGCTGACATGGTGAAGTTACTAAACAAGCCGTCTGAAACTATCGTATCATACCACAATAATAATTATTATTATTATCATCTTTTGAATATTATAAATTTTTTCTTTATTGTTCAGCACTATTCAATATTTAAAAATCATAAACAACTATAACACTCATAAATTCGCTGTTCAAAATGTGTGAGAACTGATGTTTTTCCACATTTATTTATTTATTTTTCCTAAATCCTTATTTTCTGGTTTGAACTTGCAGGTGATGATTGACATCCCCTCCCTCCCCAGTATCAGCAGTCCTGATAGACTTCACTGTGAGTTTGATGGCTACAAAAGTCACGCAACTATGGAAGGCACATGGGTCATCTGTGCTCTCCCGACCTCTGAGAACATACCACCCACACCTGAGACACAAGGTGAGAGCATCATTTTTGCCTTTAACTTTAATAATCACCTATTGTGAAGCCGTCCTCTCGCTGCCTCCTTTACTCAATAAACAAGCAGATGGTGTTTGTCTCACAGAATACCTAAAAATCATGTCAGGCATGAAAAGTTTTTCATTTCTTCATGTTTGTAATTTGCTGGTTTTGTGATTTTTTTTATTTGGAGACTGATCAGATGTAACAATTACACTGAAGCTAAATCTAATAGCAGATAGATTCTGAAGTTTAACTTATTGATTCTAGAGTTACAGAAAACTTTTATAAGCCTTTCCTTGGGAATCAAACCCATAACCTTGGCATATCTAGCACCTATTGAACCCTAGAAGTTCAGTATTGACCACATGAAATGCTCTTGCCTAAAAACTGATATGATTCCTATTTCCCTTGATTTTAGAGTTACAAAAGCTTTTATCAGGCTATGCTTTCCTTGGGAATCGAACCCATGACCTTGGCTTATCTAGCACCTCTTAAGCTCTAATAATTCAGAACTGGCTGTATGAATTACTACTGCCTTAAAAGCCCATATGATTCCCATTTCCCATGTGCATGTGTGTAGATTTTGTGGCAGTGCCAGTGAAGATCACGGTAAATGATGGAGTTGAAGTGGCATCTAGTGAGTTTGAGTTCTACAACTGTGCAGCCGTGGTGAAAAGATCGGAGAATACACCGTGAGTATCAGGCAGTGTTTTTTAAAATGTGTACTCCATGTAGCATTTATTTAGATTCGTCTTTTGATTGGCCGGTTTTGTGTTCTGCAGATGCATTGCATGTGTGACCAGTAAGTGGGGCTGCCAATGGAATATTCAGGATCACACATGCAGTGATAGAGATGACACTGTCAAGGGTGATCATATCATTCAACACATGCAGGTGAGTCATATTAGGATGAATGTATGCGTATATAAATTAATATGACTGTTTGTGCTTTAATATATGGTAAGCCATCATCTTTGGTGACAAAAGAGGAATAATAACAGCTTTAATTGATTTTTTTTTATGATTCTTGCAGGATGACAGGTGTCCTCAGTTTGAGATCCCAGAACCCCTGCTTATTCCTGTTGGAATTAAAACCCCCATCCAATTTCAGGGCAAAAATTTGGATGAATATTGGGTAAAATGCATGCATTACTTCTTATTGTACATTGTGTTTTTGTTACGTTTAGTATATTAATGTATAAAATGTATGAAGGGAAAATATCCTTAAGTTAAAAAAAAAACATTTTTTAAAGATATGTAAAGAATAATGTATATCAGTAGGACATTTTGGCATTATGCTTACTAAATACTGTACATAATGTGAGATATTGATTTAATTAAATTCAAATGATTTTACACTAAAAGAAAAGCTTGTAAAATAGGGCCTGTTGTACTGTTAAGGAATTTCCATATTTTTTTGCTAGTGTGATGTCTCTTGTATCACTTCATATATTACTTGCCAAAGCTACATAATTTATCACAGAACCATAACCATCGACCAATCAGAATCAAATATTTCAGAGAGCAATGAAGATGCAATAAAGAAATATTTTTACCCAATATCTCAGTGAGGCAATTTGTCAGCATGATTTTTTTATAGTAAAATGCCTGTTATTAGAGTCTGCATAAACAGCATTACTCTTTCTTCATCTCTCTCAGGCCAGAACCTTTCAAATTGGCACTGAGCTCATGAAACAGGTGGGCGAGGTGACTGTTGAGGCTGATGGGTCAAAGTACAGATTTGAGGGATTTGAGGTCAGTATGCTCCAATCGTATTCCTCCTATTATGTCTCCCTCACTCTCCCTCTACTTCTCTGTTCACACATTGATTTGTTTCTGGAGTTTGAGCACCAACCAATATGGCATTCACAGCTATTGAGCTGCACGTGTGTGTAGGGCTCCGTCCTATGTGGGCGTAACAAACACAAAGACATCACTTTGGCAGGGGAGAATTTTCTGCAGCACACAGTTGTTCCAGATGCGGTGATGTGTTTGTCTGTATCTGTGTGTGTTTAATGACACTTTCTACTATTTTTATGCCAGTTTGAATATGACAAGGAGCCAGAGGTGAATGTGACGTTCTACATAAAGGATAAAATCACGGACAGGAAGATTGACAGCACCCTCAGAGGTACATTTAAATGAATTTTCATCATCATAGCTTACAGAAGCTGCAGTAAGCATGTGGATCGTCAAGATGTGGAAAGGTTGTGTATAAACATCTGATAAACCTCTTAAAATAAGCAGATTAGCATATGTTATATATCATTGGCATCTTGGGGACTGATCACCTGAATCTTGTTTTTATATCCAACTAGGGATGTTTTAGACATGTTTAGCAGATGAACACTTTGAAAACTGCATTTCTGAAAATCAAATAGTTAAAATTTTTGGGTGAACTATCCCTTTAACTACCTAAGTATTAATAGCATGTAGCTAGCATAAGTACGTCATCCAGGTGTCTATTTGATGTGCATTTTTTAACTGGAAGATGTCATTTTGAAAGTGCTCATCTGCTAAACATGAACTAAACATATCCCTTTAAGCTACGCTAAGCTGTGCCGGAACGTATTACTTAAACGTAACTAACCACATAACATTAAAGCCAATATCTTTTAAAATATATAACTGCCAGCCTACATATTCTGAGCAGTGTTTATCGGCTTTCATTTGATTTGATTTCATAAGATTTCATTTGGACAGTTTGTTGACAGCATCAAAAATCTTTGCGCTAAATGTGCCTAATAAATCACCACATACAACAATAAACAGCCTAATCTGCATAACTCACAATTTCCGAAAACATAGTGATAAACAGCAGTTTAATGAAATGTTTATTTCTCAACAAAACAAAAAGACTAGAGGAACTTTTTTTGAGTTTTTTTTTTTGTTTTGCTACAGATGATGAATTTAGTGTCAGTTCTGTGAGTTGTTTTGTTTCCTCCATTTTTCTACCCAGTGGTGCTCTACAACTGTTCGGTTAGACAAGGGAACCTTTTTTTGATTCAGGTTTTTTTAAGTGTTTCCTCCATTTTTCTACCCAGTGGTGCTCTACAACTGTTCGGTTAGACGTGAGGACTGCAGTCTGTGTAAGAACGCTGATCAGAAGTATAACTGCGTTTGGTGCGACACCACAAAATCCTGCATCTACAGAGACCTGTGCAACCAGGAGCTGAAGCAGTGTCCTCCTCCAAAGATCACTGACGTGAGGACAATTCTTTTCTCGTTACTGTCGCCCGACCCTATTTTAAACTTTGCTAACACTAGATTCAGTCACACTTCAAGCTTAGCTCAAAATGCATCCAAGAATATCTCATTGGCCTGACATCAGCTATTACCAATCTCGCCATTCCCAGTTCAAATGCAGTTCATAAATTTCTACTCTTCATCTTCACTAGGAAACACCATTTCTTTTCATCCTATTCTCCATTTCTGATGCCTAAATGATATATAGATTGCTGCGCTGGTAGTCACAAACTCAGTCTCTCACTCTAGTGTTTTGTTGAATCCATCTGAGACTCTTAATGATCGCACAGCCTGCGCCTGATGGTGTTTTATTATTTGTCATCTGGCAAATGATTTTCTCCAAAGCAGCTGGATCACTCAAGGGCACAATGGTTATGGGTGATCTTTTTAACTCTCTATTATATGGTTTTGAGTATGATAGGCCTCTGTGCTGTTCTGCTTTCATTCCAGATTGTTCCTCGGTATGGGCCGATGAAGGGACAGATCTCTGTCACTATAAAAGGCTCTAACTTGGGCATCAAGCAGGAGGACATTAAAAGAATCACCATAGCTGGAGTGCCATGTACTCACCAGCCGGAGAGATACTCCGTCAGTACCAGGTACAGCATGACTGCCTTATTAGATGAATGCGGTATCACAGCATATACTGTACCATTCAAAAATGTGGGGTCAGTAGGATTTAAAAAAAATAAATAATTACTTTTATGCAGCAAAGTAACATTATATGAATCAGAAGTAACAGTAAAGACATTTAAAGTTACAAAAGATTTCTATTTCGAATAAATGCTGTTCTTTTGACCTTTCTGTTCACCAAAGAACCATGCAAAAATGTATTGTGGTTTCCACAAAAATGTTCTGTTTCCAACGTCATAAGAAATGTTTCTTGAGCACAAAATCAGTATATTAGAATGATTTCTGAAGGATCTTAAGACTGGAGTAATGGCTGCTGAAAATTCAGCTTTGCCATTAAAAGAATAAATTACATTTTAAAATATATAATATAGAAAACAGTTACTTTATAATATTTCACATTATTACTGTATTATTGTTTTTGATCAAATAAATACAGCCTTGGTGAGCTAACAGACGTACTCTCAAAATCTTACTGAGCCCAAACTTTTGAACAGTGGTGTTTATTTGTAACTTTGGTTGTGTAGAGCATTTAAAACACGTTGTATGTTAGAAAGAGCTGTTTAGCTTGTCATTCAGTTCTACCCGTGTTTTTTTCAGTGTTGTGTGTGAGATTGGGCCTTTCCCCTCAGCACCTCCTGAAGACCTGCCCAATGAGCGCAGCCTTGTCGGGCCAGTGGAAGTGGAGGTGGAAGGAGGGAGAACAGGACAGTCGCAGGTGTTATTCACTTACAGGGTAAATGCTTTCTCTATGATGAGTCCTTTGTGGCTGTTTATTTTCCTCAATCCTTTTTGCCTTTCTCTATGTACATTTTAAGTAAATTGCCCACCTGGAAAGACCAGCTTAAACACAGAGGAATTCCAATGATGTTAACCAGCATAATGTAGTTAGTAAAGATGGCTGACCAAGGAAATCTTGCTACTTAAAGTTTATTTAAGAAATATTCCAGGCTAATAGGAAAAGGTGTGTTTTCATTCTTTAAAATATACTTTTAAGTATAGTTTATATATTTATGTATTTTTTTATTTAGTTATTCATTTATTTATTTATTTTTCTTTAGTTTTCAAACAGAATATTCAGTTTCAATCGGAAATAAGTCACATTTGAAAAGTTATTATATATTTTATTACATTTTTAATGCTATTTTAAGTTGAAAGCACACCAGCATTCATAACACAAGAGTTTTCAGTAGGATAGACTTCTGTTGTACAATTAAAACTGATATTGTATTTTTGATTTTTAAAATCTTATGTTCAGCAAAGTTGCATTTATTTAATAAAAAAAAAAAATTAAAAACAGTTAATATTATTTACATTTCAAGTGACTGTTTTCTTAATTTTTTTTTTAAAGTGTAATTTATTCCTGTTATGCAAAGCTGAATTTTCAGCAACCATTATTCCAGCCTTCAGTGTCACATGATCTTTTAGAAATCTTTAAAATCTTAGTAACCCTAAACTTTTGAACAGTATATCTTTTCAGACATTCATTTTATGTTTTCTTCCACTGACTGTGTGAGCATCCCCCCCCCCCAGGATCCTGTCCCAAAGGCTGTGTCCCCCTCTAAAGGCCCAGCTGCTGGAGGAACTGTCATCACTATCACGGGACAGGACCTAGACACGGCTAGTATAGATGATATCAGCATCACAGTGGACAGAGAGCCATGTAAAGTGTGAGTAACTAGGTGTAAGAAAGCAGATTTGATTTATCTTTGTCCAATTCTGATCGTGTCTTTACGTTTTTTAAACATGCAGGTTGACATTTGGACAGGAGATCACCTGCATGACAGGCCTATATAAAGGACAGAAGATTCCTTCAGATAAGTTGCCCGTTATTGTAAAGTACGGCAAGGACACTTCCATAGAAGTCAGCGGATTCGAATACTCAACCAATCCCAAAGTTACAGATTACACCCCACGGGCCAGCTTTGTTTGGTAAGTCAGTTTTTAAGCCTCGCTCACACATACAGCCTCACTATTGGGCATTTCAAAGTTTGAATGCCATGTCTTTGAAAATATGATCACAAATAATATTTCTTCATGTATTTAATGGTTCAGGGGTGAGAATATATGGCTGTGTACATAAGTATTACATGTCTGCGTGTATGTTTGTGTGTTTTCAGCGGAGGTCGTAAGATCATAGTGATGGGATCTGGATTTGATCAGGTGCAGAGAGCCACCATGCGAGTGCTGCCCTCTTCTGACGAGTTCAGTCACAAGTCTAGCAATGTGGAGGTGCGTGTAATGATCATTTTTGGACCCTTCTGTGGTAAAGTTTGTGGTCGCTTACAGTAAGCAAGGCTGGGATTTGAAGAGAAGATTCTGATTCTGTTTCCTTAAAGGGATAGTTCAACTAAAATGTAAATTTAAGGTTCAGAAGTCATAATTTACTCACCATTATGTCATTCAAACTTGATGCAGTATTATTATTGTTGTTTATTAAAACTATTAAACATATTTTTCGTTAATTTAAATAAATACAAAATAAAATATAAATATTAGATTAGAATTAATAAATAATTAATTAATTAAAATTATAAAATTTGAAATTTTGTTTTGGCAACTAACTAAAAAAAAGTATGTTGAAGTACTAAAATTTCTGAAACAAAAACAAAAACAAAAAATTAAAGCTAAATAGAAATCGAAAAAAAAAACTATATAATAGTTATATTTTTTATATAATAAAAAATGACAAAAGCCCATAAAATTGCTAAAACAAACTACATTTAAAATGAAAACTGAAAATATAAAAAAAGATATGATTTAAAATACTAATGTCTGTTATTATAGTTTAAAATTAATACTAAAATAACACTAGATGTTATTTGTCCATGGAACACAAAAAGCAAACGGTTATTTTCCAATTTGTAGTGACCACAGGCTTCAAAATGGATTTTTAAAAAGCACCATAAATGTAGCCTAAACAAATTGTGCTCTATATTCAGAGTCTTTTGAAGCCATACAATAACTTTGAAAAGGTTGAAATGTAAGTTCTTATTTACTTACTCAGTGTCTCTTGTGCTTTCATTTGAAATCTTCAGGTTTCCTATTTTTGTTCTGTCAGATGTTATTGATTGGCTCTTAAGAAATGTCAGCATTTAATTTTTATCTAATTTCATTTTTTTTATCAAATGTCTGGATGTTAAAAACCATTGCTCAGTTTCAAGCTGAGGAGTTTCCTCTCTTTCTCTCTCTCTCTCTCTCTTCTGTCTGCATCTACCTAATATTTCCTTTCCTCCGTCTCACTTCTCTTAATGTTAATAAGCAACATTCATCACGCAGCTGACAGCCTGCTGTCTTATTTCTTTTTTAGTGCTCAGACATTTGTGAAATGTGTTTTATACAGAGATAAACTAACTTGTTTTCTTTCCTGCAGTTCGTTCAAGAATTTAGCAACAAGAGCGAAACCGTATTGGAGTTCCTCTCTCCGGCTGTGAACAAGACATACATAAACCAGTCCTTAAGAACGATCATCCAGCTGGACAACTTGGTGGAGAACTTGACGGAGTTTGTTTACCATCAAGACCCCTCGTTCGATACGCTGACAGATAAAGCCATCACGGAAAACAGCATCATCAGCGTTCATGCAAGTGTTTTTTGCTAATGACAGATTTTGGATGCCTCTTAGAAAAATATGAAATAAAAAGCTATGCCTTAAAGGGACTTTCATTTCCGTAACTGCTGAATGTTCTTTCAAAAAAATCACTGCTTCATTGCTTTTCTCTGATGCAGGGTAAAGGTTTTTCTAAAGCCATGACTGCCAAAGAGGCCCAGGCGTTTGTGGGCGATGTGTCATGCGCGGTGACGATCCTGGAGGACGATAAGCTGTTCCTCGTGGCCCCCTCCAGCCCTCCGAAATCCACCTCCAGACGCCACCGCAGAGACACCAGCTCAGAGGCTATGGAGCTGACGGTCAGAAATTGCTCTCTTCAAGTTTTAATCCCACTTATTCTCACTGGTTTTACCCTGTGTTCAGCGTTTCTTGTCTTTTTCAGATCATATTCGGAAACGGAGAGTGGAATGTCGGCTCTGTTCGCTTTGAGAGGAAATACGAGGTTCCTCTTTACATCATCATTCCTGCGGTCCTCATTCCCATGGTCCTCTTCATTGCAGTGTCGATCTATTGCTACAGGTAACAAACCTCTGAGTTCACCAGACTGTAATAATGTGAACTTAATAACTTTGATTTCAAAGTAGCGCATCAGACATATTGCTCAATTTTTTTATTTTCTATCAATACGGTCTCATTCCCTCCACCATTTCTTGTCCTCTCTTTCTAATATCAATAAAAAATAAATAAAAAAGGTAATTTTTTTTAAAAAAGTCAACAGATAATAGATAATCAGTGGATTAAATAAAAGAAAATCAAAACAAATTGAAGTGCACTCTGATTGTCAACAGCAAATAAACTTATCTAGATTTCCTTTCCTCTCTCTCTAAAACAGGTATTGTATTTAATCCAATTAATAATCAGTAATAATCAGTCAATTAAGTAGATAAAAATAATAAAGCCATAAATTAAAATTTACAAAGACAGAACAGCAAATAAACCTATGATCTGCATTTCCTGTCCTCTTTCTCTGTACTATCATTAAAAAATAATAAATAATTCAGTTAAAAATAATATGCGGCAAATTAGAAGTAAATAAGATTCAAGTAAATTAAAAAATAATGTTCGTGTTTGCATGTGTGCAGGAGGAAAAGCCAGCAGGCAGAACGAGAGTATGAGAAGATCAAAAATGATCTGGCGAATTTAGAAGAGAGTGTCCGTGATCGCTGTAAAAAAGAGTTCACAGGTGAGATGTTCCTGTTTCTCATATAGTTTATGGCATTTTTATTTGTCAGCAAATATTTTCTTTTTAGGCAAGTTGTTAAAAGAGCAAGGATGGGTTTTGTAATTCTGAAAGCTTCAACTTGTATATGAAACTTAACTCTCTGTGTTTCTTAGATCTTATGATAGAGATGGAGGACCACACTAGTGATCTGAATGAAGCTCGAATCCCATTCCTGGACTACAAGAACTACACCAACCGCGTTTTCTTCCTGCCCTCCAAAGATGGAGCCAACGATGTCATGATCACCGGCAAGCTGGACATCCCAGAATCCCGCAGAGCCATCGTAGACCAGGCGCTCAACCAGTTCTCCAATCTCCTGAACAGCAAAACCTTCCTCATAAATGTGAGACCCTCAACCTCAACCTAATAAAATTGCTCTGCTGACATGTATACGTATTACTGGATTTGATGTATAAGCTGATTTATGTACTCATGTCTTTGTGCTTTAGTTCATACGTACCCTGGAGGGCAGGCAGGAGTTCAATGCCAGGAATAAGGTTTACTTTGCTTCCTTGTTGATGGTGGCACTACATGGCAAGCTGGAGTACTACACAGACATCATGAGAACCCTTCTGCTGGAGTTGATGGAGGAATACGTCCACAGCAAGAACCCTAAACTCATGCTCCGCAGGTCAGAACTAACTCCATAACAAATTCACATAATTTGCCATTATTGTTGCTCATACTTAGCTTTAACATTTCTATGCAGTCATACTTACATACGGATAAATAATTCCTGGACTTTGGACCAGAATATCATAGACTTGGCCCTTTTGGTTTATGCTAGTAAACAACCACCTATCAACCACACTAAACACCCTAGAAACAGCATGGCAATTGCTGAAACCACTCGGTCAGAACACTTTAGTAGATAGTTCCTGATTCAATTTGATTCTGATTCACAAGCTCTTAATTCAGTTTGATTCCTGTTTTGATTTGACGTAGATTTATTCAGGTATATTTTAGTTATAATGTACGTTTTGCTTACATATTCTTACATAGAGAGAAATGTTCTCTATGCTGATGCTGTAAATTATACAGGGCTGTGTTTCAGACTGGCAACATGTCTTTTGGAACCATTCATTAAACAAAACCGCTCATAAGAGTCAGTTGTTTGTGAATCGTTCAGGTTGCGTTGTATGTTTTTGCGTGCTGTTTTCGAGGAGTCTATAGAAAGCTTTGTGGTTTAGTGCCACCACTGAGATTAGACATTGAGAAAATATTTTTTGGGGGATGTCAAGCATCAATGTCAGGATCGTTCAAAAGAAGATTGGATTGTATGTTTTTGCGTGCTGTTTTCGAGGAGTCTATAGAAAGCTTTGTGGTTTAGTGCCACCACTGAGATTAGACATTGAGAAAATATTTTTTGGGGGATGTCAAGCATCAATGTCAGGATCGTTCAAAAGAAGATTGGATTGTATGTTTTTGCATGCTGTGCTCCAGGAGTCTATAGAAAGTTTTGTGGTTCAGTGCCGCCACTGAAATGAGACTTTGAGAAAATATATTTTGGGGGATTTCAAGCATCAATGTCAGGATCGTTCAAAAGAAGATTGGATTGTATGTTTTTGCATGCTGTGCTCCAGGAGTCTATAGAAAGTTTTGTGGTTCAGTGCCGCCACTGAAATGAGACTTTGAGAAAATATATTTTGGGGGATTTCAAGCAATCAGAGTCAGGATCGTTCAAATGAAGATTGTAATTTTTCAGGACGTGAGACAATAGTTAAAGCCATTTTTAAGGTATTGCCTGTACTGACAAATTAAATCATCGGCCTATGTTTCCTGTTTAGGTCCGAGACGGTTGTGGAGAGGATGTTGTGTAACTGGATGTCCATATGTCTCTACCAGTTCCTAAAGGTGAGCAGTTATGCTATGAATAGAATTGCAGAAATTGTTTTCTAGCTGTAAAGGCTGACTAATGTGTTTTTCACAGGACTCAGCCGGTGAGCCGCTCTATAAGCTCTTTAAGGCCATTAAACACCAAGTGGAAAAAGGTCCAGTTGATGCCAAGATGAAGAAAGCCCATAACACGCTGAACGACACTGGACTTCTAGGGGATGATGTGCAGTACACCGTTTTGGTGAGTACTAGTGGTTTTCAGTATAATTTCTTACCTGTAAGACATATTTCAGCATCCAAACTTGGTTTTGAAGTATGTGGCATGTCTGTTTACGGCTTATATATCTACAAAGACTGTACAAAGATTGTTTCTTTATAGAAATGGTCAGTAAGGAACCTGTTCAAGAGAAAGCTTGTTAATACAGAATGGGTCTCGCTGTAAGAGAGACTCAGAAAAGCGGAGACAGTATTAGTGTGTCCATCATTGTTCTCCTAACACCTTTTATTGGCCAGCAGTGAGTCTGTAATCTCATTCACGAGCGTAACACTGCTCCTCTGGGACTGAACAGCTATTATCCGCTGGAGGAAACCACTCGGAGGAAAAAGATTCATGAGATCTGGGAAAACAAACAAATGCTCTCTTATTTTGTTGAATTTCTCATGCAACCGAGATTTACGCCTAAGTAATTGACTTGTAATTGGTGATTCTTGCCTCTAACAGTTTGTTCAGTGTAATTGTGTATTTGTTGTGGTGATCTTTGTACAGTTGGTATCAGTAGACTAAAGCCTGTTTGAACTCTCTAGACCCTGCAGGTGTTGGTTCACGGCGAAGGTCCCGATGTGACCCCTGTCAAAGTCCTGAACTGTGACTCCATCTCCCAAGTGAAGGAGAAGATCATCGAACAGGTGTACAGGAATCTGCCCTACTCCCAGAGACCCACGGTGGACAGCGTCGCACTCGGTTAGACTTGGCCAGCTGCATTTGAATTTCCGTACCACCCGGCACTTTTGATTCATTACGGCGGGGAAATTTCCAAAAGCTTCCAACTTTATGAAAGTAACACGCATAAATAGCTCTCTTTATTAACAATGCACTGCATTTAAAAGTACTGGAGGAAGACTCGCTTCTGAACAGATAGCGGTTTGATTAATGGTGGGATCTTGTGCATGTCGGTCGGCACTCCTGCAGTTCTTAATGAGTTGTTCTTCTAAATGTGCTGAATTGTTAAAGCCGATGTCTCGCATCATCCATCAGACAGATGAATCTGGTTAAAAGAAGGAGTGTAGAGAAAAACCAGCCAGGGATTTTGTTCTTCTCAGGTTGTCAAGTGTAATGCTGTGCCAAGCTTGTCGTTTTTTTTTCTCTGACTGTGTTGTAAGACGTAATTTCTTTTCTTGCCACAGAGTGGCGTCCTGGCTCTACAGGGCAGATCCTGTCCGATCTGGATTTGACATCACAGAAGGAGGGAAGATGGAAACGAATCAACACACTGGCCCATTACAATGTGAGTGCATATTTACACATGGATACACACATAAACACTCACAGTGTATTGAAAGTTATGACATTTTATGTTCTGATTAATGTTGTCTTGACGAGCACATTTCACTGTGCTATTACTGTCAGTTAATTAAAATTGTTTGATTTTGATTAAAACTTATTTAATTCATTTATTTTATTTCATCACAGGGATTTATTTATTTGTTTGTTTGTTTATATTGGCTGGTACTCTGTGCTCAATTTTTATTATGTTTTATTTTATTCATTTGTACTCTGTTCCTAATTTTACAAGTAGACTTGGATTTCAGAGTCAATCCATTATTTAGAAAAAAAGAAATTAATATAAACAGTGCAATATTAAGTATAATTTACACCATTTTGAGTTATACACAAACCAATTCACCTTGGGTTTTCATCTTGTCTTTAGTGTTACTGACAAGCCTGGCAGTTTTTATTAATATTTTACTTTATTTGTGCCCAAAGTATATAAAACACTTGTAATTTTATTTGATCACAGATTTTTTTTTTTTTTTTTTTTTTTTTTTTTTTTTTTTTTTTTTTTTTATTCTTTTTTTTTTTTTTTTTTACACTACCATTCAAAAGATTTTTTAAAAATATTTAAGAAGTTCCTTATGCTCACCAGTGCTGCATTTAATTGAACAAAA